TATATATATATATATATATATATATATATATATATATATATATATATATATATATATATATATATGATGAATTTTTTAAAAAGATCTTTCTTTGATCAATTCTCATAAAGCATTTTAATTTTTAAAAATTCTCATAGAGTGTTTTGGCCACATAAAAAAAATCATTTTAGCCCTAGTTACGTCAAACCCATCGTCGTCACATTCGCTCTGCATAGCCACCCTCACCTCCTTACATTACCCCTACCTCCATAGACCCCAAGAATAGACTCTTCATTCCTCGTTCATAGTTGATGGTGAGAGAGGGCTTGTGAGGGACGATAAACTTCCCCACCCCCCTCCCCCTTAATTGATGACTAGGGACCATGGCCCGTCCCATCTTTTATTGTTCACGATCAACACAAGAGAGCCTACAAGTGATGACAAAGGTGTAAGGCTTGTACCTTTATTGTCCCCTGGCAACTAATGGCGTAGGTGCACAAGCCAATCTTCGAATAAGGCTTACCAGTAACAATCAAAGCACACGACTCACCCCATCTTCTTACTCACTCACAATCGATGATAAATGTGACCTATGAGTGACGAACGATAAGGATGAACTATTAGGGTGGAAGAAGGTTATTTATAAAGTGTGGGCAAGGGTTAGGTGGAATGTGGTAGTCGACAAAAGTAGAATGATTATTTTGATAAAAAAAAAAAGATGATATAAATAATTTTTTTTAAGTTGAGATGCTACTCGATAAATTATCAAAGTTAGGAATTTTTTTTAAGTATATATATATATTTCAGGGGATGCAGTCGGTGCAGCAACGTGCGTACAAGCCGCTTCTTTTACGCGGGCGGTGGCAAAGCTGTCGTTTGACCGCTCAATACCGGGACATCGGAACAGCAATGAGATCTCGAACACATCCCACCCAGCTTTGATTTGCCCGTCTCTCACCTGCTTTATGATTGGGTGTAACTTCGGCGATTGTGTGGCCCCCATGCTGGAACCACTATCACGCCCTGTAAGAAGGCACGTAGGGAGTTGAAAATGTAATTTCCGCCGCCTCCATATACTGTAGTGGGCAGTCTTCGCCATTCCGAATAAATAGAATATAAAGAATATTACAGGAAAAGAAATTATGATTAATTCAAATGACAACCATAATATTTCCTTCTAAACATAAAAAATATCCTAATTATCTTAATGGTTCCCTCTTTTAACTTATTTTACATTGAAGTTGCATGGTAGAAATAATGGGAGAGATATACGAATAGGATACCATTATTTTTTAGACTCATATTTTCAATAAAGTTTTAGACTCATATTTCACCTCATATATATATATATATATATAACTTTTGTTACCTAAGATTGCAGCCCACAGGAAGTGACAAAAGTCAAACATGATATGGTCCCAACACCTCATTATTTAATAAACATTATGAGTCATGCACAGTAAATTTCACCTCCCTTTGTCACCCCAATATTAGGAAACATCCTTAGTTTCAATCCCTTCTCTCTCTCTCTCTCTCTCTCTCTTTCTCCATCCAAAAGAACTATTTAAACTCAACAAAAGCTCATCTCTTGCTGCAATTGCGTTTGTCTCCCTCCTCATCTCTCTCTGTCTCTCTTTCTCTCTCTCTCTCAATACCATCATACAGTTCTCCATCACTTGCACTTGTCTCTTCTCCTAATCAGATTTTGGGTCCGAAGCAATCCAAAACCAAGCCACTTCCACGGCAAACAAGATGCCAAACAGGCGATCTCGCTCAACGCAGTCGGGCTCTCCGGGGATCACCGACGACCACATCATGGAACTCATGTCCAAGCTGCAAGCTTTACTCCCCGACCACCGCACTCGCAGCAGCAAAAGGGTATCACGGAGTCATCTAAAGTGCTATTCTTTTGTACCTTTTTCCATAGGTTAAGTGCACTGCTGCTCTAACTGATAGCTAACGTCTGTTAATGTCGCCATAGTTGTCGGCAGATGAGGTCTTACAGGACTCGTGCAGCTACATCAGGAGATTGCACCAACAAGTGGATGGCTTAAGCGAAAGGCTCGCACGTTTACTCGCCATGTCCGGCATGAACGATGCTGAGGTCGCCGTGGTTCGTCGCCTTCTTCATATGTGATTTGCTTGGCATCGGAAGGTTCAATGCTCATATGTATGGTGGTGTGAATCTGAGAACCCCTATTGTTGTTGTTGATCTTGTTCTACGGTCCACCAGTGAAGTCAATTTTGTTTTCTAGTATGAATTATTATGTTGTCTCACCATCTTTTTAGAGATTAAAGTATGCTTTTCTTCTCTAATACACATATTGCTGACAATGTCTTTCATACTATGTTGTCTCATCATCTTTTTAGAGATTAAAGTATGCTTTTTCTTCTCTAATTGACATGTTGCTGACAATATCTTTCACCGAATGATATATTTAATGCTTAGATAGATCGTTGTTAGTTGGTGATGTGAGAGAAAAGAATTCGAAACAAAAAAAAAATCAAATATTAATAATTAAGAATATATTCAAAAGTCGATATAAAGTTAAATAACTTTCCATTGATTTCATTGAGAAAATCTCAGTTATAAGTTTTTTTAGTTAATCTCACTCGGATACAATTTATGTATACTCTCGTGTATAAATCATAAAAGATTTACCCTCTCTGAAGACCATAAGGAATACTCTATATTCGTCCTAGATAGGAACATATAAGTATTATATATTTCTCATATATTATTATTTTTCATCAAAATATAGGGATATATGTGATATTTATATATGAACCAAATCCTGATTTCTCCTTTTTGATATTATAAATTCTTATCCTTTAATGATATTAGCTCTAAAAATCTTAAAATATTTATTAATCATAACATAATAATATAAAATATTCTTTGAATAAAAAAGGATCGATTCATACTTTCAAACTATAAATACGACCCTTCCACTTGCTACGAGAAATCTTTTTTTCTTTCTCCCCACATTAACAATAGCTTACTCGACATCGTAACGATAGGTGCTCGATCTTTTTTTGCAAGGAAAGCTTGAGAATAAGATATTTTTCCAAATATCTCTCCAACAATTATACATCCTCAAGATTCATGTCGCCTTGATTGATTCTATGATAAAATTTGGGGTGAGTTAGATTAGGTTATCTCTGAAATTTTGATTTACCATCAACCACCAAACTAACACTAATGAAGCTGGACTTGAGCAACATAAGGGATTTTGTTTTACAACCTGCTGAATTATTTTGTTTCTTTTTAGGTCATTAAGTTTGATTTCTCCTTCCATGGACCAACTTGCAAGCTGGAGGATTTGGACTGAAAGGTACATGAGAGATCACTTGATGCCATTTTAGCTTGAAATCAGACACTGCCCAGTGATGTTAGAGATGATGGACAAAGATCAAACAGTAGTGTTACTGTGCATCATGTTATTTTATTCTTCAGATTTATCTTTGGATCATGATTGATCTCGATGTATTAACTGACATTAATTTATTGCATCTGAATCATAAAAAAAATTAAAACAAAAGATTATCTTCTTTTATAAACCAATTCAATTCTCCGAATTAATTAAATGAATACTAACACTACCAACAGCATCATTTTGATTGAATGACCAGATTTGTTCTCCAATTATAAGGCTAAGTTTTCTACTCTCAGTTGTCAGTAGATTTGTTCTGAGATGTCTATGCAGACACAAAATACAAGTAATTTCTCCATATTTGCTATGTTTTCTATGCTATCTTCCAGTGTTGCCCATAAACTAATGCCAACCTATGCCACACTTATTCAGCACTTCAGCCAAACTGAACCCATACCATACACTATAATGTGTATTATATATATTCTTGCCTTCTTGGCAGTGGGATAAGGCAGTGATGGCTTCCCACTACAAGATGAGCAGTGCCCCAATGTGACATCACAGGCATGAAGTAGTTTGAGTACTACAGGTTTACTTCTTGTCACTTGTCATTGCAGCATTATGAACAATGCATAGATAGATCATAGAACTTATTGATGCATGGCCTACCAGCCAACAACCAAGTATATGAATCTACTAATGAATCTTATCATATCAGCTAGAAAGAGAAATGAAGTAAGATAAACATCAGAAAATAATAGGGTCTGATCACTGAGATCTACAACTTTGTATTGCTTCAATCTTATCACATAGTAATGGGTTTCACTTCTGTGTCTTTCCCACTAAGAATAGACAAAGAACAAAAGGAAAAGAAGAGCAAGAAGCTAAATGTTCATCTTTTGTTGGAGAGAGTTCAGTTTCATCCTCTTGCTGTACATACAGAACAAAGCAAAACGTCGAACACCTTCACGGAATCACTCTCTCTGCAAGCAGCACACCGGGCATCGCACAAGCCCGTTCTCGTTGCAGTCGGGGCACCTTCGGAACCTTCCCAAGTCGTCGCCTTCCTCCTCCGCTTCGACGTACACCTTGCAGCTCCCCGAGCACGTCCCGCAGAGGACGAACCTCACGTCGCCGCAGCCATCGCATGAGGAGGCTGCGTCGCCGCGTCCCTTCCCCTGCGACTCCATCTCGCAGAACTCTATGAGCTTGGAGAGTCTCCCCACCTCGTGTAGGTGTCTCAACTCGTCTGCCCCGCCCAGGTGGTGCCCGTTGGCGAAGACCCTCGGCAGACTGTTGCCGCCGTACCCCGGGCCGAGCATGTCGATCAGCTCTTCCTTGAATCCTGCATGCATCGACACGTCCCTCTCGTCGACGCGAACGCCATAGCCATGAAGTATTACCCTGACGGCCCAGCAATCCTCAAACGTTCTCAGGATCCCGCGGATGCTGGTGAAGTAGAACACCACCTTCCCCTCGCCACCCGGCGGGCATACGAGGGAAGACGCCATCTCAGAGGAACTGGCGTTGGGTCTGGTCTTTTTGACGTCGATCTTTTGTTGGAATTCGTTGATTCTTGCTCGAACAATGCCGATGGTTTCCGGAACTTCGCGGCCATCGGCAGACTCTATCGATCCGGTTCTTGCACTTGCGCGAGAGGGCTCCTTGTTTTTGTCCTTGTCTTCCTTGTCGAGCTCAGGGGATTGCAGGATGGAATGGGATTGTTGCTGCGGCGACAACACGTCGAGGGCTTCGCGGAAGGAGGTCGAGATCGCTGGGTCGAAATCGGAGACGACGGAGTCCACCGGGCTGAGCTGCATCCACTGCGGCTTCGGCAAGGAGGCCGCACTCGAAAGCTCGGAATCGGGCCATGAACGGTGCACATCCCGTGAGGTGCCGAAGGACAAAGAGCAGTCGACGGCATCGGCGAGAGAGAGGTGGGGGGAGCTGGCGTCCTCGAGGCCGGCCATAAGCTCCCAGGCGTTGATGACCTCCGGCTCGTTGGACGGGGTCATCGTCGGGGACTCGGGGATCCGGCGATCCACCATCCCCGACAACGTCTTGGCACGGACGAGCCCCTCGACGACGTTGGCTTCCGTGGTCACCGCCGGGAGGTCGTTGGTGCTCTTTATCATGGCCTTTTCGTCGAAGCTGAGGTCCTCGCGGTCGAGCACTAAGGAGCCGAGGGTCGTGGAGGTGAGGGAGACGGCGTGGTGGTCGTCTCCCCCCCGGTAAAGGGCGTTGACATCACCGTCGTAGTGGACGGGGAGGAAGTGACTGCCAACACAAGGACTGGGGCTCCATCCGCGGCGTCTGCCGACCTGCTTCGAGCCCGTGCAACCCATGACGAGGGTAAACAGGGGAACTCTCTGCGTCTAACGCGATCACTCCGTGGAAATATGAAGGGATTCAACAGTGCTTAGAGGGGCCATCGGGATTCTGTTGGTTTCCATGGTGGAGATTCGTCGATCCCAAGAGTGCAAGCTGCAGGAACCTTCCAAGGGAGCTTTCCTTTGCATTTGTCGACGCTCTCGATCCGACCGACCAAAATTGGATTGAACGGAATGGATTCACGATCAAAACAGAGAAAGAAGGGAGAGATCAGACTGCAACAAATTCAGAGAGCAGAGACACAAAAAGATCGGATTTTGATCGACAAAACAAGCTAAAGGTGGCAAAATCCAGAGACAGAGATGGATGGGAGAAGTCAATTTGAGATAGCATTCAATTCAAACAGATGAAAGCAGCTCATTCGGTCATCAGAGACAGGCGAGGCAAACGAAGCAATCTGTGAGTCGAAAGAAGAGCGCGAAGTCGTCGAACGAAGCGATTGTGCTTTCTCTCTCGATAGGTCCTGTTCATAAGAGAGACTGAAGTCGAGCAGATGCCAACAACAACGGGAGCAGCAGAGAGAGCGCCGCCCCCGCTTCACCTGATGCAGCCAACGCTAACGCTCACCTCAAGGGAGAGGAAGAAGAGAGACGCCTTATTGCACGAAGCTGAGTGGGGCCCGCAGAACATGCGGTACGTGGCAGAGAGACGGTCCCATGGGACCGCCGAGGTGTGGCGCTATAAAGAAAGAACGTGCGGGTGTTGGATACGGTCGGGTTGGGTGGGCCAGCGGGTAAGTCGCGGGTGGGGTCATCTTTTCATATTACTTTTTGCCGTTCGTGTGCGCGTGAGAGGAAAGATAGGGTTAAATGAGGGGAGGGGATTAACTTGTCGTGCACATGCGGACTCAACTGTGGCCACCCAATCGTACCACGCACACCAATGGAAGTCTTTCTTCTCTCCTGCGTTCTTATCGATGAACGCACTGCCCTTTTTGTTTTTATTGGTCTTATTAGCGGATTATGGATACCATCTGAAATCCGATCCACTTAAGCAGAATATTATTATGGATTAAAAACTTTGATACAATTGATTTCATGAATTATTGTTTTCTCTGACACAATGTCCTTTTATCTGCTTTAGATCCGACCCGTTAGCAGCAATTGTACGAGAATTATGTGGTTGGTTTGGTGGATTGTCTATTGTGGGTTCATAGGGAGGACTAAGGCATTAATTAATAGGGGACATAAGTTATGTTTGGTAGCCATGCAGTACTTTAGTAAGCTAAGAATGACAACAGCAGAGAAATAAGGGATTAGGAGAGTGGGATTTGAGGTTGTTTAATGTGATCCTTTTGAGGTAATGGTGTTTGGAATGGGGAATTGGGAGACAGCATGTCGTCTTCGGTCACTGTGCCAGAGATTTTTTTTTTATTTGAAAGAAAAGGACATGTGCTATGCATGAAGGATTAGATAATTCTTTAAATGATTAAAATGGAAAAATGTGTGAAGGATACAAAGTAGATCAACAAAGTTAGCATAAATCTTAATTAAAACTATTTTTGTTGAAATTGAATGTATGATTTAGAGATTATTTTTCTGATTGTATAATGTTGAATATGGCTTTATAAAAAAAAAATTGATATTTTAAATCTACTTCGGACATGATATGAAAAATAATACAACACTTAGTTAGCTACCAACAAACGTAATAATTTCACATTCGATTCATCGCTTTCATTTGGTCGCTTTCACTCGATTGAAATATTTAGGTGAGGCTTGATCTTGTGAGAGTGGTAGCATATAGCACCGACAAGAATGTCGACTCAATCTTATTAATGGTTAAATGACATGCTTAATTGTCTATGTCAATTGTCATAACCTCAATCTTAGGATCATCCTAATAAATTGCCTAAGGTGCATTCTCAAACATTTGTGATTGAATACATTTGCTTATTTTGACGCGTGACCAATTCCTTCCAAGTTGGAACCCATAATGACTTAAATATCGAAGAAGTTCTTTGGGGAACACCTTGATATAATTTTTGTATGGGTCTTGAATCAAATCTTCTAGCTTTTTGATATCTCAACCTAGACCTCAATTAACTTATGAACAACCAAAATCTAACTTATATTTACTAATTTGGAATGGTCTTATCAGGAATATCCAAACAACAAATTTTCTAGGGAACCTTCATCATGATATGAAGGCAGTATAACACTTCAAATAAGGATCTGTCCCTAGCATTGAGCTTCCATTTCCACACAATAATTTCATCTGCATATTTAGGATGACTTGTACAAATCTCTTGCAGATCACCTGAACAATATCATGAGAAAGAAGCCAGTTATTTTCATTTCAGATAGATAGGAGCATGATTAAGGCTATTTGGTTGAGAAGCAATAGAGACTAATCAAATAAGGATGATGAACAACCAACCAGTGAAAGGACAGGCAAAACACTTGCTTAAGTTCTTCAAGTATCAGTACAATAAGATAAATCTGAACAAATGAAGATCATGGGACTCACATTTAAAATTACATTTCTCATTCTGGAAGAAGTTTTGGCCCAACATCCCAATAAATTCCAAGTTACAGCATGCATCACCTTGCAATAGCAAGATACTAAGTTGCAAATAATCTGACCACAAAAACTTTGTTTTTGAAGAGTAGCTGAGTAGCAGATACAGTGGCTGAAACTTTCACAGCAACAACCTAAATAGTTCCTGCCCAACTCCACTACTGTTAAACTGTAAACTAGATAGTAACCTTGTCTCAGAGCAGCATTCCTGGTAAGAACAGTTCCAGATAGATATGTATGGTAGTTGGACACCAACATGAGACAATGAAATGATTGTCTTTAGTATATATACTAGAACAATCTATGCTAAATTGAGGAGAATCTATGATAATATACATAATGGAGGAGACAATCAAAACAATTTGAAGTTATGCTTTCAAGAATGTGTGCTTTAGATATTAAAAAAAAATGTTAGAAGATTACAAGAATAAGACCAAGGGAATAATATGAAATGTATGCATTAGAGTGAATTTTATGTAAGTGATCATCAGAAAGAATAATTTTAAGAACTGCATTAAACCCTGGTTTTCATTATGCTCATTATAGGGAAATTAAATTTCCCTCAAGAAATCTTTAGAAACTTACCTACAGGTGTATCTGAAAAATATTGGAATCATTCATCTAATCCTTGAGGGCAATATTAGCTCATGAGATGTTCTGGAATGCAGGAACCGACCAAAAAGGCTCTACATTCATTTTGTGCTGTCTCCCCAACCTAAAGCTACTGCATTTCTTCTTTTGCACAAACATATCTTAGTGATTGAACCCAAGAGATCGAATTTCTCATTTCATAAATCCAGCTATCGGATGAAACCTAAGTTCTTCTCTATCACTTCAGTAGAACTGTACTAGTTATCTTAACTCTGTGTTTAGAGACCTAATGAAGTGTCATTGAATGCTTTCATCAGGACAAGTTTACAAACACTAAATTGAGATTGACCTCCCAAAACACTAACAAACAGATTCCCTATTAGACTTCTCAGAACAATTATACCTACCTTAATCTAAGCCCCTAGTAGATTGAAGACAGAGACCCTGTAAGAAGTGGCTGAGGGGAACACAATGAACACCTAGCTAAACTAACTTGTCTTGAAGAAGTCCACCCTTGTTTCATAATTATAATGATGTTCCAATCTTCCAATGCTCCTATTAGGGTAAATTATGCATGAAGTAATATGTCTATGAGCTTTCAGGGAACAATGAACCAATCTACCTACATTGAACCTAGCCACATTTACAGCTCATATGGAGAATAGGGAATCCATATCTCTTGGCTTTACATTTGCATGATTTTCTCTGTCTCTCTACCTATTTCAGAATCTTCTTTTAGGTCCCAAACCCTACACAAGTCTGAGGCAAAGTTGGATATTCCTCTATCATACAAATGTTCTATGTTTTTGCTCAACTTGCAGGGATGCACATCCCTACCTTGCACACCTTGGATGATTTATCTGCAATGGTTTTTGAAACCAAAAGAAGGGTTAAAATTAGAGAGACATGTGAGAGAGTCCTACCTTCTCTATCCTCATGCTCAGGGCAATCAAAGCTTAGTTACAAACATGAGGCAGAGTTGCATGGCATCTTTGAGATACTCCAGTTGAAAGGAGACAAGGACTCAGCCAAAGAGATTGCATCTGACAGTGGCCTTTTGGCCTCACTGAAGGTTCTGTACCCCTTCCATAAGATCCTGAGACTTGAAAGTGTCCAGGTACAATGAACGAGATCTATGCTCCACAGCTCTCAGATCATTCCTTAGACGACTGGATAAACACTTGGAAGGGACTGTTATAAATAGGCTTCAATGGTCAAAGCAAGCTGGGACACACAAACAAGAAGGAAGAGTTGGATGTCATCTGGAGTCCCTCAAACACTTCAGAAGGGCTTTTGGAGGCTAAACCTGGAACCAGGCATGCCCTCCCTGAAGTGTTTGGGGGAACTCTGGGTGTCACCCAACATACTTGGTGCTCATGTGCCAGCTTTTGACATTGCTGTTCCTTTGGCTGTAGCTCCTTTCTCATGCTAGTTCTTTGGTTGCATGCATGAGTAGCCTTAGGAAAACAAATTATCACATTGTTCCCTTTGTTTACATTATTTTCATTTAATTAGTGCCATGCTTTATGTCCAAATTATCTATTGAATGAAACCCCTCAA